TGGTTATTTTATTTAATATATAGCGTTTATGCGCTAAATAGCAATGTTTAAACGTTAAGACTTTTAACTTAAAAGTTATAATTATTGATTAATATATTACAAGCAAATTACCTAAATGTTAAAAAGCATTTGAAACCTACCCACAGAACGTAAGCGACGTAAATCTTCGGGTATATTCAACGAAGCAGCAATTAGTTGATTTTCATCAGCTTCTTGTGCTGCATCTTGATTATTTTCATCATATAATGGCCCAAAAACAATTGGACCCACATCATGAGGACTTCTAATGATTTCAACTGTTTCAAACGGATTTAGATCCATGATTATTCAAACTAAATGAAAAAGACACAAAAAATCTTTACAAACACTTAAATAATAATATATTATTAGGTAAGGTATAACTCGAACAGTTAATTTTAGTACTTGGAAATCATTATGATTTGAAAACAAATAGTGGTTGGAATATTAAAACGAAAAAATATAGTTTTTGGATCAGTTGTTTTTCAAATATTTACGATTGTCGAGTGCTAAGATAAACTGGAGTTCTAATAATGTATAATGTTAATATAAAAAATCAGTTCATTTACAATTTTCTTAATGTGAGATCGATTTGATAACCTACCAGATTTAATAATTATTCATCATATCTATTACAATAAAGAATTATTTTTATTTTTATCAGCGATGTGAACTGGGATTCGATAAAGTCGTCTGAGAGTTGGTGCGTGGGTATACGCAGTATAATATATATACTACACTTTTGGTGTGCATGAAATAAATTACTAAACTACTATCCGGACCATCTAGTTACTCGTAGCGTTACTAGTGAGTCACTACTCGAATAAACATGTGAATTATATAACTGGCGGAGAGGAATGACTATTTATTTATTAATCGTATTCAGTCTCTTGGAAATGTTTTCGAGGTTCCTAATTTTTGAGATAAAATTTTATGTATGACATTTAAGACTTGAGCGACTTTTCACAATATTTACCATTTTTAAAATATGTTATTGATTTTTTTTTTTTTTTTATATAGAAGTTTATTTGTTGAGTATGGTTTTGTACTGATGATGATAGTACAAGAACAAATTTTAATACAACGTATAATTTTTTGATTATTTAAATTCCTACAAAACAATTTAAAACTTGTGATGGATTGGTGTTTTAAAATTTGTATCGAATTTTTGATCTATCGTGTTCTGTACACAAAATAAACAGACGATATGATAGAGAAAACGATAATGTAAATATTTTATAGGTAAATATCAAAGTCCATTGTGTGAACAGACTGTACAAGGCGAAAAAAAGCTATTTCTTTTATACGTATATTATGATGATCGATTATGCGGTGTCCACCTATAAATGTGACGTCTTGCGGCTTCTTTCGATTCCACTAACCCAATAACTATCGCGAATAGAATAATTGTAGTTCCAATACCATAAACGGCATAAACCATTATACTTACTGTAAGTACATTCAATCAACAAAATTATTACTGCATTTCTTCAAATAGATTCAATACGTATCCGACTTTTATGAGACGATGACGATGACTGAAATCTGATTCCGTCGACAGATTAACACCGGATGGTGGGTACTATACTACTATTGAACCTACAACTTGTATAATTATCCGTCTATTAATTTGATAAACGTATTGAAGAGGGTCCTTCGAGAACAGTCATTATTAAGTAGTCGGATTAAGGTCAATATTGATAAAGTGACTTAAACTCAGGGGTCTCCAACCTGCGGTCCGTGTAAATTTATATTTTAGTATTATACTAATAAATTAGTGTATAACGCGGCGGCTATGTGATATGGATACAACACGTTTACGAACGAATGTCGTTTATACAAGAATTTGTTTTTTTAGCCAAAAAACGAACGTTTTTATAGACTACATTACAAAGCTTGTAACTTCTGAATATGTTTTATTTTTTTTTCGTGAACTCAGTCAAAACTTTTTTTTTTTTTTTAATAAAAACTATTTGAAATAAATAATACAATGTTACCTATATTTATAACTACGGCACGAACTATATTAAATAAAATTATATAATATAATAATATAATATGTAATGTTTAAAATGTCGATTAATTTTATTAAAACAATTTTCGGAATATAAATTTAATATTAATAATACTGTTACATTATGTATAATACGTTAGATAGTGAAAAAAATATGATACTATACGAATCGAACTGGTTTTCCATCAAATTAATAATATAGATATAGTACCAGTTATTAAACAGGCCCTTGCTTGGAGGATACCGACCTATTATTCTTTATAAGCAGAAGACTCATAGGCCCATAAATATAATATAAAGAAAAGACCTTTTTTTTGTTTTAATTTTTGCTCATTAATTCGTTAAAAAAACTCAAGTATTTTATAAAAAAAAATTGAGGCGTGCGGCCTACTATGCTGTAGAACAGTAGCGCAGTGGCCCAGTCCGGGCCTGGACTATTATAGATAAATATGTTAATATCTATTTTACATCGTATCTACCTATCTTATATTCTTATCGCCCGGCATAATAGCAGAAAACCCTATTTAAAATATTATTTGGTTATTTTAAAAATTATTATTTGAAAATTTGTAATTGACTAACACCAAATCTGGCAACACCGCACGATTAAAGGCAGGTGAAAAATCGTGCAATTCTCCATTCAGCTGTCGTGTGTCGTGTTAGGGGAAAAGGACTGTTCGCATTCATATATCATCTACCTATATAATATACACGCTCGCATGCGAACATTGAAAATATCACAGATTATCGACTGTACAATAATTGCTTGTTGTACAAAACTTATATTTCTTAGTAATTAGAGAATGTTTATTGTTTAATAACGGTAATAATTACGCCGTACATTTACATTGATACAATATTTTTAATTTTCTAATAAAGGTGTTCGCGCGTATTACTTTTTAATAGTTTAAATATTCAAATACCCAAACATAGTCAATTAACTGTGTAGACATTAAGTTTTTTTTTATAACTGTTATTATAAATGTACAGTAAGATATTCCTTACTTAAGATATTTACTTCTCGCGTCTATAATTACTGTAATAACGAGAAAAGAGAAATAAATAAAATAGTTTAAAATAAAGGTTTAAAATTATAGTTATGGAGACTAGATACAAGGGACACAAGCCTTGGATGTAAGTCGGGTATTTATATTAAATTTATGTGTTCTCGCGTTATTACCTTCCTCCTGTTCTTCGGAGGGTTATCGAGGTCATGTATTCAAGAATATAATCAAGTACACCGTGATACAAAAACTAATACGCAAAATATAATAATAATAATTAATATATTTTTATAATCATGCACCTTACCTGACTGATGATGAATGTGATGTGATAGTTAAGAATTAAGGTAACACTTATAGTAATAATTCAACACTTGAATCAAAATAAAAACAACACTGGTTTAGTCTCTGAAAAAAAGAGAAGTCCAATTGTCGTTCGCAGAATCGTGTGTGGTTGTGTGAAGAGCTCTTGCTTGTGTGTATGGTGCGCATGCGCTCGACAAGTTGGATGGTGCGCATGCGTTCGACAGGTTGGATGGTGCGCATCTACTGCTAAGAGAAGACGATCTGGTTAAGCCAGCAAGAATAGCAGGCGGCACCATCAAAGGTCTCCGCGTTTTCTAAAGATATTGGCTCTCCCCTAGGCGACAGAGACCCTCATGGAGCCATCCCTTGTCTTTGGCGGCACACAAAATGGGTCACACGCTTCACGGCACATTGTCACAAACCATGTGTCAACCCCTACGTGACCATATAATGTAAGTAATTTCTTTCATCAGTGGTGAAAGATGTTTATGGGGTTTTAATCTACAGTGTGCGACAACTGACCGTTATTTATTTTATCGAATAGATAAGTATATAAGCAATATTACAATCATGATATGTGAGCATATCATTACATTACTAAACTATAAATTATTCAGGAAAAAAACTATTTAATTTGTTTTTGAGAAAAGACTATCCAATATAAACACAATGATAAAATAAGCTTAATTATTAAGTTGTTTAAATTTATATTTTTGACTACAATAATAATTAAATAGTGTTATTTTATTAGTAAAGAGTAAATTAGAAAAATAACGACGAGCGATGTATTGAAAAATTGAGATACCCGTTATTTAAAAACTGCTGTAGATATCTACGTCAAATTTATCTATGAATTATGTTGATCAGTGTTTTTGTGTAATTTTAAAATACGTAATAGGTATCACAAAAACTGTAATTTTAGCTAAAATATATATATCAGACTAAACTAGTAGAAAAAAATTATCAAGTAGTTAAGATGTGTTACAGACGTTACAGTTACATAGTCACTAATTCTATGGATATGATATGATATACAGCACTTAGGTATATTGAGAATCTTAACCTGAAATCAAATAATAGTTAGGTTAGGTTATAATAGCTGTGACAAAATAATAATATACAATATATGGTTGATTATTTAATAATTATAATGACGTTTTTTCCTAGATTGCGTATATGACAAATTAAGAAGGTCATGGAGACACCCTGTTTTAATCGACGTTTTAGTGGTTACGAGTATAACTTGTAGGTTGTAAAGTAACCTTTACACTGCAAAATTTTAAAGTTGTAAGTTGCAAGTTGCAACTACACCTAATGATTTAAAGTTTTAATTGTCAGAGCTAGTAAATCTAGTATAGGCATTAATGACAAGTTTAATCACTATAATGTATAAAAAATATTTAAAAACATTCTAAAAATATACCTAATATAATATGTGTATCAAGTTATTAATTAATAAATATTTTTTAAATTAAAAACTTATTCTATAGATAAGTTGTACGTATTTTTCCTCCACGATAAAACCACCTCAAGACAATTTTTGTGGCATGTTAAAAAATATAACATTATAAAACAGTATAAGAGTATAATAGTGTTTATTTTATGAATAAAACGATTTTTATGTATTAAAATCTTTTGAAACATCATGATTCAGTCTATCATTCACTGCGATGTTCACTGCACATAAAACTACAGTCGTCCGTCGTCTTTTGGCTGTTGATCTTTAATCGTAATGTTGCCAATTTTTTATTGACACTGTCCATCCACTGGTAGTGGTATCCGGTCGCAAACCGTGCTGGTTCAACACCCGAAGCCACTGACGAGTTGAATATATTGCAGCCACAATTTTCTGTGGCTGCGGCAGAGTTAACCGTGACAGCTGGTTTCCACTTTTCCGGCACAACTTTCGTAAACAGCCCTGTGTCAGCGTTCGAGTTTTTCTCGTAGTCCACCGTTACTATGATATAATTTAACGAACGTTCAGACGACAAAAATACTTATTGTAAAACTTTTTTTTTATTTAGTAAACTGATCTTTTATCCTAAATTATCTTTTTCATAAAAGTGCATGCTAAAAATTATAGCTTCATCCTACCACCGTGACAAAATCATTTGACCACCACTAGTTATGTTAATTCTATATCAATACTATACTGCAGAGCGACTCGCCAAGCCTTTTATCAATAACGGTGTTATTCAAATCAGATTCTTGGAATTTTCAAATAATATACTTAAAACCCTAACTTTAGAACTATTAAAATTTTCTATGCTGCATGAGAAGTGTCTTATGGAGTAAACTTTTGTTTTTCAAATAAAAACCCCTTAATAATACAATAGTTTTATGATTCTTTTGAAAATATAACGAGTTTTAGCCACTAATGTAGTATGGCTCGTTTTCTCTCGTAGGTGCAGCAAACGTACCGTGTGATTATAGTTATGAACATAGGCGTACATAAGGTGTAAAGTTTAGGAGTGTAAAAGTTATTTTTATGTTCCACAGCCTCATAAAGTGGTAGGTTATTACTTATTCAAAATAATACGCTCATTAAAAAAAAAAAATATATACTTTTTTTGAATTAATTAAACTGATAGTTAATTTTATGAGAAATGAAATGTTATAATAATAATTTTTGTTAGATAAAGTTTTTAATTTTATAACGAGAATAATTTGTATTAATATTTATATTTTAATGCAATTAAACACAACTATTCTAATCCAAACTACATTTATATTGTTTCTAAGCAATTTTTAAAATAAATTACTCAAAAAAACTGGGAGTACTTTGAATTTTTGGAGTAAACCAAAAGAAATGACTTGAAAATATAAAACTACTAATCCTGATATAAACTATATCAGTTATCAACTACAAAATTAAAAGAATAATTTTAAAAGTCACTTCATGATGTTTTTAACGTTTTTAAGGATCTAAGTGTTTAATTAGGGTTTTAACTTTACACTTTTTAAATTAATATCATTATTACATTATTTTCTACATAAAATTCAAACTATTATTGTTTTAAATTTAAAAATGCTTATCGTACTTAGTAAAGATTTAAATTTAATAAGAAATTATAGCTTCCTTCTAAATCAACAATTAAATATTTTATTTACTAAATTGTTAATTAATTAATTTTGTATGACTGGAAGGCCTGTAAAAATAAAATTTTTTATTCTAATTCAATACTATAAAATATATTTTACTTTACTTTAAGAATACATGTGTTAAATGTAGTATTATACCAAATATTATTAAAATTAGTACTTACTAAAATAAATTTAATTATCTACTCATATAACTATTATAACTTATAACACTACGCATACAATTATATACCTTTCACGATGTCACTAAGGAGCATAGGCACCAAATTGGCGATAATGCTCGTTGACGGATTCAGTCCGGGAATGGAATTGATTTCAATCAAATAAGGGATAAAGTTGTCAGTGATCAAGAAATCAGCTCCGAACAATTGAAACGTTTTGTCTCGGTAAAACGAAGTGTCCGTAGCAGCCTTTAACACTGCATAAACACTCTCGCCCATTCCGGGAAATATCAATTCATCCCATACGTATTCTTGTCCAATTTTTCTGAAAAATAAAAAAAACTTGGGCTACAGGAAAATGCTTATGGAATTATACTATACAAGGCATTTATTTTACCACACGGTATAATATCATTATATATTATTCATTAAAATAAAATTTATTATTAATAGTAATACTTGCTACTAATAGATTGTAAGGGACATTTTATAGAAAACTTAATTTACATTTAACCGTCAATCATGCCGTTGCGTTAGTCGTTAATTATTATTAGTAAATGACGTAAATATACAATATATACATGTGTAGTAAACGTACAGAGGATTATTTTTTGCGTCTACATAAGTTAACTTATGCCAATAATCAATTATTATATTACAAAAAAAAAAAAAAATGTTTTATTTTTAATTTTGACACTGAAATTTATAAATCTAAAAGAACGTTATCATAATTCTTTCACGATTTTCACTCTGCAAAAATACTCGGCAGCACTAAATTATTTTTAAGACTAAATTTAATTAGTTAAATGTTTTTGCTCGACATTTTAGTAATTTTTAAACCGGTATAATCTCATATATTACATTTGGTACCCATATTATGTAATGTAGTTTTAAAAGTTTTTCAGAATGAAAATCAGTATAAGCATTACGAATTACGACGTAGGTACCGTTAGAATTTGTATAGTTACAAAATATGAGTAGCTTTCGATTAAAATTACGATGGTCACAAGACTTCTAAAATCTATGTAGTAAGATGATTTATACCTCAAATAATCTTGTAGTTCTCTATAATCCCACATGCATTCATCAGGTACTTGTGGATTCCTATATTTTCGATATTTCATTTGTAGTCTGACATTGCTGAGATGAATAGATTCGTGCATATTTTGCATGGAGAAACTATTTGCACAAAATCGAACGTAACCCTCTCTAAATATTTGAAAATAATAGTTATTGGAACATTGTTTATAACATCCATTTAATAATTACATTTATAATGCTCTGACTATAACAAATGATATTCGAATTTATATGATGAACATTTTAATATAAAAATAAATATATATATATATTGTCAAAACACCATAGAATAATTATATTCTCAAACTATAAATTATTATACTAACTTGTACATCCACACAACTACTGGACTCATATTGGTCACTAAAAACCATTGTCGCAAATCAATTTTACATGTATAAACCAAAAGTGGTCTTTCTAAAAATAATAATGATTTTGGTAGTTATCATGCCTTTCCTTTAAATACTATAGATTGTTTATATATACCTATATATTTTTGTAAAATATAATTATTCCTAGAAAAATTTTCTTCAGTGATTTTTTGTTTTATTGTTTGCAAATCTTTAGACAACATAATACCATGACCTGAACAGTTTGAAGAGGGTTTTATGATCCATGTGTTGGTAATCCCATCTATGTAATGTTGAGGACAATATTTTTTCACATTTTCTAGTAGATATTTACATTTTGCATAAACATCCAGCTATAGTACAACACAGACCAAACATTCAAATTACTAAAACATCAGAAATTACGATTTCATTGAAAATCGGTCGTAAGATTGCTATATTAATATATAATTACACGCAGAGGATTAAATACAGAGCTTTACGATACTTACGTATCTTGGGAGATTTTTTTATAAGCAAAAGTACATAGAATTATGTTAGAAATTTGTTTATTTTCAATAATAAATAATGAATTAATAATTTTAAAGTGAAAAATATTCACTAGCTGATATAAAGTAGTTTATAAAATTAACAATTTAATTCATTATAATTTTTTTTTGAATTTAGACATCTTTATATTTCTAAAGTCAAACCAAAATAAGCACTTCAATTTTATCTGGATCTCTAGACGTTTTGATGAAAAATGTATCTAATTTATTGGAAAATATTATACCATAATATATTATACGTATTATTCCGAAAAAAAACATAACATTGGTGTAGTAGGTACCCACTGTAACTGAAAAGCCTATATCAAAAACGTTGTTTGAATTATTTGATGTGATCATATATTATTATTAAAAAAATACGTAAAAAATATCATACTTGTAAAATTTTTGATATTGGAAAAATGGACTTAATAAGATTACGAATACTGGATGAAAAAATAGCTTACATCAATGATGTGAAATAACTGCGATAACATATCATGTTTTAGAAAACCAATTTTTAAAACATCAGATTTTATTGAACAAATAAGTCATGCTTTAGAATTTTGGAATAATATCATGAAAAATTCACTACAGTTTATAAAAAAATAAATACAACACAGTATCTCTCTTATATTTATACCTATTTTTTTTCAACATAACTTGTGATAAAAGCAGAGAGCTATTATAAGTTAAAATAAAATTTATTACTCTTACAAATTGTGTTAACTAGATATTTTAAACACATTTAGTAAATATACATAAATTTATCGAAATAAAAATTTAAATTTAAAAATAACATAATATTAAAAACTTAAATTAATACAACACTAATAATTAACATATGTAATTAACGTATGCTCTATTTTCTCTTATTCGTTTAGTGTTATCCACACTATACACATTTTCCATATCCTTTATCATCAATAGGATTGTAAATTTTTTATAAACTTATTATTCCGCAAAATTTTGAAATCTTTATAGTCTTTTAAAGTAGATCGTTACAAAATTTGTTTATATAGAAACATAATAATATCCTCGAGAATTTATTTTGTGTCAGTTGTAGAAGTTTAATAGCTAATTAAAATATAGTGTGATATAATCATATATATACATTACGTATAATGTTGATTGGAAAAATATTTCTAATTTTTTAGAATTTATATATTGATATTTTTAAACGAATATTATCTATGTATACCTTCCATTATAAGTTTTTTGTCAAAAGTAGTATCTTAGCACAAATTATATGATACCTGCTTAATGAGTATATTTAATTTGAATAAATGTTATCAGAGCTGAAATTTCATGTCCTAAATATCGTAAAAGTCTTTGAAAAAAATACAAAAATTATTTTTTAAAAACCTAGTTTCAAACACTATCGATCGTCCTTATAATGTGAAATAAAAAAAATATGTACGGGCGATTCTTTATCGAATAACACTTATTATTTCAATATTTATTATGTTTTTGAAAACATCTTTTACATGATTTCCAGTCAAAATAAAACAATATTTTTAAAATGTATATAATATACCACGTGTTCACCAATTGAGGGAACATTGAAATCCTCGGCCGAATTAAATTGGAATAAATCGAATTTTTTTTACACGCTAGTGGTATATAAATTCACATTTGTAGATACATTTAAAATTTTTTATCATTTTGGTATGCGCATGCGCAATAAAAATATGATTTTTATTTGAATAGCAACACCTATTTGAACACTTTATTCGGATAGCCCTAATTTTTTTAATAATTTTGATATATCAACTATGTTTCTACGCAACCACAATTTTGTATTTTAAATCTGCAAGATTGACTGGTGGATCTTTAGTGTGAGAAATTTTTCCCTAAATTGATGAACACACGGTATATATATATATATATATATATGAACGTCGTGGTTCGTACTAATCGCCATGTAATTTGAATGCAGAGACAATCTTTATATCTATATTTAAATTTGGTTTAATAATTTTCGCCCATTGAACGAAATGCTTTAAAAAATTGAAAAATGCTCCAATAATGCCTTTAAAAATTAAGTTTATCATAAATCCAAAAAAATAAAAATTGCATTATACCTATCACCCGAAATATAATTTTCTATTAACCGACAGGAAACATGCATAATATATACGTATGAAAATCAATTAAATATGCATTTTTCTCTTTAAAATTGACAAAATACACATCAAAAATTTTCGATTTTTAAGCATGCAATTGTATTGCTTACATTTTTAGCTCTGTCAGCTAAAAATTGAGAATATATAGAATAATATGCAACAGCTACAACTTCTGAGCCCTATGAATAAGATGGTATTAGCTTCGGTACACCTCGGTGTTTATTGATGAACCTTGATGATTTTGCCGAAGACCCAAGTGACAGAGAATCAATAGTTGCCGAGAAACGAAAGCTCTCATTACAAGTATTGAAATATTTAATTTTTATTTCAAAATGTTATAACACTTATAACTAAATAATCATTATACTACTTATTTACTTCTAATTCATATGTATACTCATGATCAAATTTGGCATTGTTATCGATAATCAGTTTTTCGTAATGAATCATAAATTCGTTCCATACTTCTTTTTGACTATTAAACGCCCACAAATCTATTTCTGTACTACCAGTTATGTGTTTATTCAGAAATTTTGATACACATCGTTTTACAAAATCAATAATATTGTATGGTATCTGGAAAGGAAAAAAATGATATTATTTTTGTACTGATATTCTATTATTAAATTGAAAGTGTTACATTGCCATTTATAGTGAAAATGTTTCTATTATTCTCAATCGCTTTTACGATAATCTGCAGTGTGCTTACTAACGCTGTTGTAATGTAATCTTCGACAAATGCATCTCTGTCTGCTTCAGATCGAATATAATAACATCTCGGAAACATTAAATTTGTCACAGAATTTTTATAATATTCCAAACATTGTGCCAAACCATTCTATATTTTAAAATAGAAACTATTAGTTAACCTGATAGTTAATTAATTAGCTTAGTATAATAGATACATAAACTTTATGGAGATATATATTTAGTTTTAAATGTTATGATATAAAGCTAGGTAGGTAATCAATTTGTAAAAGTTGAATCATTCGTATTTAAAATAAATAAGAACATTTTCAAGTAGATAATAATTTTATTTTTATATTAGGTAGGAACAATTTCCCTAGTTATAATAATGTATAATGTTAATTACATATTTTTAAATCAATATAACAAGTGGTTTATTGAGATGGGTATCTTTAACTCCTACCAATATTCTGAAAATAAAATATTTTTTCGACGTTATTAATCATTGGGGAAACAAGTATTATCTAAGGCTGGATATTTGTTTAAATTAAATGACAGTTCAATCGAATTACGTAAATGAATTTATTTATTTGAAAATAATAATAGTTGTATAATAAAAGTATAGTTTTAGTACCCACAAACACATTTTTAAACATGATCGGTTCATTTTTAAAGTACCTACTTATGTTAAGTTTTATTTGTTTAATAGTTAATATAATTTAAATTAACATTATAAAATTAAAAATTAAAATAATTTGTTTTGGTTGTGTATTACTAAAGTTAATTATTTTAGTAGCTGCCAGTTACTAATTGCCTATTTATTCCACAATGGTTCTTAATTTGTAATATAAAAGTTATAAGTACATTTTAAATTTATTTTCAAAATAATATTTAATAAGTTTTTTCTATGTAGCCACACATGTTTTACGGATTGTGTGCTGTTTACTTTCATTTATAGGTTTATTTCGTCCGTACACTTTAAAGTGTGATTGTAATAATATAATCTCAACCAAGTATTAATTTTAAAAATTAAAAACTTATTAATATAAAATGTAAGGTCAACATAAAATGATTTCTCAATAGTTAATCTAAATATTTAATGGCTACTTATAAATAAGTAGTTACAAATACTTTGGTACAAAACACATGTCTTGTCATCTGACTGACGGATGTCAATTCACTTAAATTGGACCAATTAATCAATCGTTTTCTAGTGACAAAAATAAAATCCGATTTTTTATCTTTAAGTATACTCCACGATTGCGCATTTTTCAGGCGCTCTGTGATGGCTTCATTTTCACTGATTGACGATAAAAGCGGAGGCGATTCAATCCAATTAACCATGTATGCTTTAAATTAAAATTTTACATATAAACATTTGTCGGTTACACGAGGTATAAATAGCTTGAAAATATTTACGTGGTGATTTTAAATAATAAGAATAATTCGTTGGCGGTCTGTGTGGATCTCGTTTTTCTACCCAACCACGGTTGTTCATCTCTAAGGAAATTGTTGGAAAATATCCTAATACTGAAAATATTTTTTGATCCTGTACACAATGAAAAAACGATACCAACATATATATATAACGATACACGATAAATTTATATTATTTACCTACGTTGATAATATTATGAATGCACATTTCTATATTAATTATATTACTGTCAATATCGTTAAATAATACAATTATATTTTTTAGATTTTAATATTATTCATTGTATGTATTTTTATTAAAGAGTTCAATCCTTTTATCTATATTAGTTTTTACTGAACCTGTATAGCTCTCAACGTCCGATTAGTGACATTTGTCAATGACTCAAAGCTTAATGCTGCATTCAAAGCAGTGTAATCTAATAAATTATAGTTACACTCTTTTATCAATACTTTATGAAGTTCTTGAACATAGTTTTTAGAATTTAGCCGGTATCTGGTATTGAGGTTACTCTGCATTTTTGAAAATTTTAGATTTTGAAATTCTTCTTTTGATTCCGAATTTTGATTAGAACCGTCTTGTTTAATATTTGTTTTAATGTCGTTTGTAGTTGTACATTGTTTTACCTCATTGTCGAGGTAAATATTCGAAACAGGATTGGACGTGTTTTCAAGAATTTCAACAGCAACGATTTTATTCGGCGTGTTTAGTGTACACGATTGAGTTTTATCGTTTTGATTTACTAATGGCTTATTATCATTCTGAGGCATCAACGCCTTTTTTTTGCTAGTGTTATTGTTAAAATTCATTATGTGTTCTTTTATTTTTTAGATTGTGTAAATTTTATGTAAATATTTAAAAAGTATAGAATTTAGGTTGTGTTTAATTTGTAATTGTTTACTACTTTTATTCAATATTAATAATGCTATTTGTATCTATGGTAATAAATATTGGACTGCTGCTATTATATTTATCGTAATTAAAATATCGTAAATCAACCCACCTATTACAATTTTTTGACAACAAATTACGTGTTAAATAAAAACTATACTGGAGCTTGTTATAAATAATTACTTAGGTACATTATTTTCATTTTTATATTTAAATATGTTCACTAAATATTACCATTATGTTTTATAATCTTAAATAACCAACATCGAGTAGAGTATACCTACTGCGAATCACACACATAACCAATGCAATTTTCAAAATATTTTAGCTATTTTTGAACTATTTGTAAAAAATGTATGGCGTGTGTCGGTGTACAGACATTTGAACATTTAATATAGAAATTTCTCAAAAGTATTTTTTCTAAAATAAGAATAATTAATTAAGTTTAAATCAATAATCATTTATTTTGAGTTGACTGTTCTAAGTTAAAATTTCAACAAGTCGTAAAAATCGAAAACAATTAATAGTTATTTGCATATAAATTTAATTTCCACGCATCTCTTATTGCTTGGAAGTTTAAAATTAGTTTTTTTTTTTTTACTGAAATTAAAAAAATATATAAATAACTGCACATAGTTTTATGAACATTTTAAGTTCAAATGTTGGGGATATTGGATATTCAAAGTATAATAATATAATGATATACCTATATAATATATAATGATTTATCATCAAATATTTTTCGTTATTTTATTTATTTTATTACAATAAAATATTAAATAATAACTGAAACTTGATATAATTTTAATTATTTAGACCAATTTTAAGCAATTTATAGGCATTTGGATTTTTTTTCTATAAATTTTAAATAAAATATCATAAATTTTATTAATATTGCATTAAAAATTGAAAATACATTTACACACGGCATATATTTTTATAAACAATTAAAAAAAGTTAACAAAGTTTGTCAAAATCACAAAACTTAACAAAATTTGTTGTCATTTTTGTATTAAATCTTTAATTTAATAAGTTATTAAACATCACTGTTGTTGTCAAGATTAATCTCATGAATACAACACTATATAATATATTAAGCTTATATGTATAAAACATCTACACACTATAGCAACATTAAACATAAACAGTTATTATAACTTTCTAGCGTGTATTGTTCAATTTTAAATGTCTAATTTTTATAAAAGCACTCAAAGTCAGGAATCAAATGTTTGCAGAAACAGATATCCATCTTATCTGATGAAGGTCTCACCACCTCAAATGTGCTTGAACTTAAATTCAAGCAACACGTTACTATTGCCCAAAATATGTAATAAATATAGTGTGAGAAGAAGCAGTAGCTCTGTTACAAACATCATCAATTGTAATGATGTTATGTCTGTAAAATCCACAATGGAATTCAACAACACTGCCACCAATGATTACTCTAGCTTTGGAAGTAGAAGTCGCGAAAGCTTTGGAAGTGTTCAACCTTTAACTTATCGTAATTTCAGATATCCATCTTATCTGATGAAAGTTTCGCCGCCTCAAGCATGCTCGAACTTTAATTCAAACAACATGATACTGTTACCTAAAATATGTAATAAGTATAGTGTGAGAAGAAGCAGCAACTCTGTTACAAACGTCATCAATTATGATGAAGTTTTGTCTGTAAAATCTACAATGGAACTCAACAATACTACCTCAATGCAATCATTAGGAAACAAAAACAAAATGACAAACAAAGCTACCACTAACGATTTTACTAGCTTTGATGATAGGAATCGCGATAGCTTTGGAAATTTTCAACAACCAACCGCTTATATATTAAAATATCCATCCTTGATGAAGGTTTCACCGTCTCAAGTGTACTCTGACAATGAAAATATATTAATGCAAAAAAATAATAAAATGCATGGTATGAAAACGAACAGCTCTATTATAATTAATAACAATCAGCCTCTTCTTGATGAGGCTATAAAATCCTCTTTAGAAGATGCCAAATCAACAAATCTAAATGATACTGAAATTAAAACAAACAAATTGATTGATGTTAATAAGGATAGCAAATGTTTGGCTTTAAATACCAATGATTTAAAAACAGAAAGAGTCTTGAAAATAAAAAATGGGATAAATTGCATTTTTAATGATCGTGACAATGAAGAACAATTGACTAAAAAAGAAGAAGAAGAAGTCAATGACGTTAAATTATATAAATTTTGTAAAAAATGTCATAAGGGCTGGAATGTTGAAAATTTTGTCTGGGAAAAAATCCCAAAAATCATTAAGATTAAATTGTTAGAAATAATCAAACAAAATTCAAAAACCGAAAAGCCTATTTTTCCTTTAGTAAATCATACAATTAATAATAACTCAAATCAACATTTATTTATCAATGAAACAAAATGTTTAGACAAGACACAAAACAATATCTCAATTTAAATACTATAAAAGTTCCGTATCATTTTGATTTAACAAACTTCAAAATATATATGTTTATATGTCATGCTGTTATTAAAATAAATTTAAGTTGCAATGTGATAAAAAAATAGTGTAACTTATGTAATATGTTACTCTAATGTAAGTATATCATATAAATATGTAGCTAAGTAACTATTATAAATTATTTTTATTTTTTAATGCATCATTGATGGTTTATTTCAATCAGTTATACAAGGAGATAATATACCTAGATACTAACTTTAATTAATATAATTGTTTCAAATAAATTTGATTTTATAATTTTAATGCATTTACTATACAATTTAAAAAGAAACTCATTTTTTTTTATTTTGTAGTAGAATAATATAATAATTTTACAATATTTTTGAAATTTTGTCTAAAATCTTAATTTTCTTGATAAATATAAACAAATTTTAACCTGGCTTCTACTAGTACGTATAAACTGCCTATCCTACCTTTAAAATGAATAATGTGGGAAGGAAATTTGTTATTTTCGAGTAGACATATACTTTTGGTCGCAAATGATAACTTTATTTAGGTTTTCTAATTATTCGTTTAGAAAATTACATAATATGACGCGTTTAGTATTTTCGAACAGTCACAGTTGGGTGCGTATAAATGATTTTTACCTGTTATATACCTATCGTTTAAGAACTTACATTTGTCTAGCATAATATTATGTCACTTATAGTTACTATCTATATATATAACCAATATTTGTATACGTAGTTAAACCGGTTGATATTTATGGTGAATGGTGGAATGTAATAGCCATAATATAGTGATGTATACTTGTGAAGATGAATAATAAAATGTAAGCTAAATTTCGATAAGCGGCGATAAGCCCATTGAATATAATATATTCACGTTATATAAAATACTTAATTTATTATTATTATTATTATTATTATTATTATTATTTGTATTTGTATTTATGCTTACCTAAACAGTTTTAAAAATTGTTATAAATGTTTGTTATCTATGTTTATAAAAAAAACGAGACTAATATATATAAATTATAAACAAATATATCAATTATAGGTCTAACGATAGGGCTATGGTCTATGGCCTATGGGTGATTTAATGTATTATTACATATCCTATGAATCATATATATGATTTAATATAATAACACACATACTATACAGTGTGGCGACACAGTTAATGAGGCAATTAACAGTAGAAGCATATACTGAGGGCGCATGTAAACTCCACCACAAATACCTTTTTTAGTGTAAGCTCCGCCAAAAAATAAAATCAAGCACAGTATTAAATTAATACGAAGAAATTAGAAGGCATGAAATAATGTGAGTGTCACCTGACGAATTTGTCAAAATAATATTATGTTGCTCCATTCCAACACTCTTAATGAATGCATTACAAGTTTTGTTATTGCAACTCCATTTTGTTACACCACACGCTTATTTTATGTTATTGCTATACTTATAATTGTCAATAAAATAAAATGGTATTGTTGATTTTTACTTTTACAATATCGCAATAGTAGTATGAATGACGATTGGCATTTAATATTTATAATCGGATGACGCCGGCAACTGCTGTAGAATGTTATAAGTAAGGCAGCGTGGTTCAAAAATCACAGCGGGTTAACTAGTATCTATACGTATACAAATATGTTTAGCATATGGTCGTATAAATGATTTTTCCGATTATAGTATAAGTAGTACGACGTGTCACTTAATTGATATTATTTATTACCGAACTTATAAAATACTATTGAAAAAAAAACAATCCCCTATGCAGACCACACACGTGTACGAACACTTATCGGTTTCAAACATTAATCCTTGACCTTAGAACCAGTTTTAAAGAGTACTAACTGTGTTTAACAAATGTAACCAATTAAACATCTATCAATAATTGTTGGTAAAAACCAGAAAAAACGATTTAATGACTGACTAAAGGTAAAATTATATGTATAATACAATTCTAGAGTCTGATGGTTGTTTTCTGTTTGATCACCGTGTTTCATCTATTTTTATCAAAAATTTTATCATTTGTAAAGTTAACCAAAATTAAGAAGCACTGATGTTTAATATAATAGATTGATTAAGTATAGTAAGTAATGATTAAGTATGAAGAAAAGTAATAACAAATTCACATATTATTAAAAGTGACTTCTATATCATGAATTATACTAGTCACTAGTTGAAAACTAATGTACCATAATCAGTATAATCTGCATGAAAAAGTTCTCTTAATAGTTAACCAATAACGGATAAGTTAATTGTTTCATTCTTAAAATACTGTAAGATAATTTATACAAAATTACGAGAAAAAAAATAAAAATAAGTATAATGAATGCATCATAAGCGAGAATACAAAACATTTCTGTTAAATTAAAAATAATATAATGGAAAGAAATTCAGAAAATAATTTAAGAAAATTAGTATAAAATCGCCTAAAATACTTAACGTTTAAAAATTATATGTGTTTATATGATTATATGGATAGTTGAAGTTTAAACCATAAAAATTTTCATCTTTAAGAGTAGATACTAGATAGGTATCTATTAAAAACGTTCACATGATATTATTCGTGGTACTGTGCTGTCTTCGATTTTATTAAAATACATCTATTATATTATACCAGGAGTCTCTAAACTACAGCCCGCGGACCGAATGCGGCGCCTAAATAAGTTTTCATCGGCCCGTCAAATAACGGCAAATATTCTAAAAATATGTATAGTTTCCATAGTCGTTATCACGCGCACGAGCAATTATCAGTTTTATTGGCTGTAGTTTATTAATTATACATGAAAATTAAATGTGTTCATACATTTTGGCCTACTAAAAGCTTTTTCTATTTTATGTGGCTCTCAGATAAAAAAAGTTTGGAGACCCCTGTATTATACCATGTTATGGTAATCAAAGAAACAAATCTGTAAAATGTAAAACTTATTTACTGTAAAACACAATCTTTATATATATTACAATTAATGTACAGTGCACACGCTGACACTTGTGATCTGTAAATTTCATGAATTTCGTCCCTGTATTGTACCGGTTTTTACCTACCTATCTACCAACTGAATAATGCATTAAGATTAAACGATAATACTCCCAACTGACGACATTATCTCTCTTTATAAAGGTATTATATTATATAATATAGATGTATGTGTGTATGTGTACTTATATACATATTTAATGCTGTTACGGACATATATGTAAAGTAGTAATTTATATAGAAACGCGTTAGTATCTATTAAACATAATATGGTACCTGAATACCTACTCATAATGTACGTCGTACGCATCAGTGCTTGGATTATTGAGCACTTAGTATTCCAACGATTTTCTCGATTCCTCCGATAATTTAAATGTGTTCATTGTGATCCTTTTAGACGGAAATCCAAAACTTGTTAATGGTTGATAAAATAAAATACATTAACAATAATATTACAATAATCTCATGTTAAATCAGACAACATATTACGTACACAAAATATTCGTGTCGTTTAAAAATAAATTATAGTACAAGTACGTTACCATATGGGTATACTCTAGCTAAAATAATCCAAGCCTCACTCGTTAATGTGTAATTTGTAAACTTGAAATCACAAAAACTAAATATTTTAAATCGTTCAATCGGTATATTCTTAATACACCGATTTTTTTAATTATACTTGTTTCGGGTGAATCTTTTCATTTTAAATTTAAAAGTAGTTTTTTTGATTTGCCTCGCCTACATATTTTTAGAAGTTTTGAATAATATACGAACCGGTTTATAACATGTTAATGGAAAGTCTATAAAAAACAAACTAAAAAAATAAACTAAAGAAATAATTTTATTTCTAGAAAGTAAAATAAATAATTAAACAATAATTAAATATTATTTAAAAATATATTATCTTAATATATAATCAAAATATCAAAACTTCTATTAAAAAAGATTTTTTTTACATTAGTTAGGGATTGGATTTATTTACAGCTACTATAAATAATTATAAAATGAATGTAGAGTCAATTAAATAAGTATGAAATGACACGATACGTAACGGCAACCAGTATAAAATACAGGCTTGCAGCGACCGGTCCAAACTTTACCAACCGTCGGAAACGACGACGTGATACCGTCGATTTCCGCTCAACGCCGCAAAGGCTATAGGTGGGACAGGAAGACATATCGCACCAACAACTTGTCTTTCCTTTTTTTTTTTTTTTTTTACTTTTATAAATTAAATGACCATCGTTTTGCGCAATCAACACGACTCAAAAAAATGTGTTAAAAATGTGTTGAAAGGCTATAAAATCATCAAAATCTTTACTTAAATATATATTGTAACGGGCCACGTATATGATATAAGCAACCATGTATGATGTTGTGCAGTATTCACGGTGAAATAAATAGTCGTAAATTCCATAAGTGTTTTTTATTGAAAATGTTAAGTCAATACGAACAAATCCTTATATAGACTGGCGTGAAGGTGCTTGCTCCAATTCTAGTAAACCACGTCTGCAAAAGTCCTATATTGGACTCATAGGTCCTTTCCCCACTATTCTTAGTCATATACCTTCTGATCAAGAGATGCGCACCGTCGTGTTCCCACGGCTCACGCGTCCTCGCTGATTTATGCGTACGTGCTGCGATGATTCCATTATCTTATGGCGTCCGGATGATGTACCTCCCACACCAAAATCCTATAGATTAACGGATTACCTGCACCTATTTAGTTGAATCTACCGTATACCTAATTTCTTGTAACTACGCGTCGCATTTATTCGTATTATAATACGCGAAATGCGTATTATAATACACGAGAATATAATCCTTAGGTATTTATATTATTGATTTATAACGCGATTAGTGCCAGCTGTACATACAAGACCTATCTATAATTATGTATAGTACCGTTGTACTTAACTCTCCTTCGTTATATTCTGGAATATGTTGCCTATGTCGCGGCATCTAATAATGTTACATATTCAGGCAACGTAGTAATATATAAATATAATAATAAAAATTAAGATATATGTAGGTATATAAAAATCACCTTAATGAATAATGATTGAGTTATGTAAATTAACCGTAATAGCTAAATATTGAATGAAAATAATGTTCTTACCTGACGCTAGGTACAAGCGGTATTACTGTATTATCTGCGTTGTTATACATTTCGTAATAATAATAGTATTGTTTTTCTATGCCTAATAAAAAACATTGTAAAACTTCAAAAGCAGTATGTGTAAAATATTTAGATGATTATTATTTTATTGTATTACATTTTTTTTTCAAATAAAAATCCTAGTCTTATGTAGTTTAGAGGTACCCTTTATCAAATACCTAATATAGACAACATAATAATAGTATAATGTATGTATTAATTTTGAATTTTCATACCGGCGGCTGTCCAATGATAAGGGCAATTCGATAACAGTTAATAGTGGCTGCCAATGTTCATGATAGTATCCATGGGTTAATGTACCTATGAACTTCATCGATAAGTTTATTATAGCACAATAGCACTAAACACTAGGTATAAGTATAATATGTTATATATGACGACAATAATTTATCGGAGCATGAAGACGGTTTTCGATTGTATTACAGTATTACCTTACTGGTATATCTATTTGCAATATGATAAAAATAATATTGCCGATTTTAGTTTTTAATCAGTGTTTACTGTTTTCAATAATCTATGATTAGTTTTGTAGTATCACTGCAGAGTTCAGAACCGGTAGAGCCACGTTTTTTGGTTCAGTTCGTTGACCGTTTCGATAATACAAAGTATAAGTTACAATTCGATATAATATGATATACCCGTTTTTAATGAAATTCAAATTAAATAATTATATCGAATACTCCATTAACCGTACCTAGTTATTTTTTGTGACTTAAATTACCATCATGTTCTATTTAGAAGATTTTCTGGAAAGTATGTTCTTGACTTTGAATTGAAATCGATCGTAGAATTAACATAATGTTTTTTTGTTGAAGAACTTGAACTCTTACCGCAAGAGATAAAAAATCGTACAGCAGAAATTGGAAAACTAGACTCGCAAGTAGAAAGTGTGTAATTAATTATATTATCATTTATTTAACAATTTATTAGGTTATTATTGATAAATTATTAAATTAAAGGAACTTGTAGTTTCGGCTTTAACTGTCATACCTAACTAAACATAATATATTTCACTACGCTATGATGTCATATTATTTTCTCACACCTATAACAAAAATTTAATTTAAAATTTTAACGCCAATAAAAATTGTGGAAAATAACTTTTCTCTTTTTAAACAGCCCAAACTGTCTTTTTTGTGATTAGAGGGTAAAAAAAATACATTTTCCAGTTGTTGGGCTGTAAATAATTGTCAAATCAGATTATTATGAATTTTTGTAGGACAAATAATTCTTTATTGTATCATCATAATAATTTAGTGATTTTAACTAATAACAATTGGTGATTACTATTTGTGTTGTATTATCTAGTGGTAAACATGCTATTGTATTGTTAATATCAAAACAAAAAAATTGACATTGTATCTGTTAAAAGATATGATCAAATATAATGTGCAATATAAATAGGTTACCTTTGTTTTATTATTTTATGTATTATAATGGTTTATTTTTGTATATTACATGGTATTATGCAATATTGTCAACAAAGTATGTGTTAAAATAATCCACGATTAAGTAGTAGGTAATCGTTATTGATAATTTTAAAAAGTTTAAATATTTAAAATTTGTGATAATGATTACAATGAAATAGTAGCAATTAAAACAACATTTGCTAATTTTACTGTTATACTTTCAATTTGGTAGACATTACTTTAAAACCAAAAAAATAATGAGTTACATCTAATATTAATTATACAAATATTTAGTTGAATATTAATCTATATATTTTTTTAATATTTAGTAATTTGTTACCTAAAACTTATGATAATGAAAAATTGTTGGTAATTCAGTAAATTATTAATTAATTATTCATCTAACACGACATGGATAATATTATAGTATATAATACATTTTTGTAAAATAAAGTTATATATTTAAATCTAATTCATGCTTAGTCAGTAGGTAATTAAGTTTGTTAGCACATATCACAATGTCAAATTTTAATGGATATAATATTAATCTATTGCAATTTTTTTGAAAATAAACAACAACCACAGACCATAATTTTAAAAGTTTAGTTGTACATAAGTGATTATTGACTTAGCTTTTAAATAAATACATTATAACCATTAATGCAATATTTTACTGTAAAAAAAAAAAAAAAAATAATATTTAAGTTAATATTAACTATTAGATTTTAGCAAATTAATTATTATATTCTATACTTGATTTCAGATTCTATGAACTGTATAAAATATAATGTAGACACTTTATTTTCAAAAGCTGACACTATGAACCCAGATGATTTGAAGAACAAATTTAAGACACTTATGAAAGAAGGTGACAAAACTCTTAAACAGTCTGGTAAGCTTTTTTCAATGATAAATTTTGATTATTTTAATCAATACATTTTTAATTTTAGATTCGAAAATTCAGATTGCTAATGACATGCAAAAACTCGTAGAAAAATACATAAAACGATTGGATCTTGAATTATATGGATTTAAAACTGAATTGGAAGCTGATAAAAGTGGAATTACAGAACTTATTGAAAAAAGTATTAATTAAATAAATATGTTTGTTTTTGTAATTGTTGTGAATTAATTTTGAAAAAAAAAATATAAAATAAAAAATTATATTTTATCCTCAGGAATTTTAGATTCAGATCAAAGCAATACACTCAATCATAAAGAGAATAAGTATGAAACAAACAGATATATTTTTGGAGGTAGGTAGTTTATGCATTTGAAAAGTCAAGCTACATACCATGTGTGGTTCTGCCAGTTCCTGTATTTAATGATTTTGCTTTTATGTATATAGATATATTTTTTTTTATCAATTATCGTGTAAGAATTTAGATATTTTAAAAACAACATACTTATTGACAATGTTTTATTTATTTATAAATTGAATACATTTTTATTTATAATATTATGATTTATTCATTTCAAATGCATTTCTATTATCTTGCTTACATTAGTTCCATAATTATATATCATTAACAACAACAAATAGTGATGAAACAATCGCACTAAATAATTATATGATTTTATTGGAATTGACTGTTGTGATTTGGTCAAGTATTTTTATACTCTTATGAAATGTACCTATGTATATTATGTGTAATCTTTTAATAATCTTTTTTTTTTTACTCCAATACTATTAAAAAAAAAAACAATATTATTTATTACATAATAAGTGTGAAAATGAAGAAATCTCTTAAATTTTGGTGATACTATAATATAGTTAAAAACTAGGGAAATAATTAAAAAAATATATAATTAGGTTATGTTCTAATGTTAAATATAATCAAAAAAGTTATTTAATTTAAATGCATTGTAATTATTTTCTTTAATAGAAATATTCTTAAAATTAAAAAAAAAAAAAACATTCAGTATACTTGATTTATTAAAAAATATATATAAACATCCAAGTCTAATTAGTATTATGGTATTCTATCTTTAAAATAAATACATAAAACTTTGAAAACTAATTTCGTTCTATTTCAAATACACCTTTTAATCTATTGATGCTATAATGATGTTGAATATAATTGAAATTAATATGATACTTATTTGTATACAAATTTTCCATATTTTTGATTGTATTTCCTAAGTCACACAAAATAGAAATAAATCAATTTTAACATTTATAAAATTACTTATTTTTAACTGTTTGTGTTTTATTTGTTTTTTTTTTTTTATAGGTACCTGTATTATAATTTTTTCACAACCTTATACATATTACAATTCATCTTCTGAGATATTTGATGCAAATCTACCTATATTTATTAATTAATAAGTATACAATTTATTACTGCATATATTAACTTTATTTAATTGGGTCCTTTGAATAAAATAAAAATATTTTATTTTTGTTTTGTTTTAATGAACATATAATTAACATTTTTTTACAGATACTGATCATAGATAAATATATTTATTTATAAGTAACTTCATTATTTTTATCTGTAATATTTTGTGTATAACTGTCAACTTGTATGTGTTATTTTTAAATTTAGTATTTTAGTGAATATAATATTACTAAAATATAAAATTTAGATATGTAAATATACCATATTATCTAAACTTATTTAGTATACCTATTGTATTCTTTTTAGGATAATTCTTTATTTAAAAGTGAAAATTATTAAATAAAAATTATCTTTGGTTTTGTTATTGTAGAAACAGAAGAAGTCTTAAATAATGTTAGCAGTGTCAATCAAAAAATTAATGAGGTAACTTCAGATGCATCCATTACTGAAGAATTAGTATCTTATTTTCAACCTGATTCTGGATGCTCGGCAACTGCAGCAGTTGTATCTGAAGCTATTGCTTCTTGTAATAAGGTATTATTGAAAATTTTTCTACAAAAGGTTTTACTATTTTTCTTAATATAGTGAGAGGTGATTTAAAACATTGAATAATTCATTAACTATTTTATTTTTTATGTAATAATAATGAGTCTATTTTAATAGAAGAATTAGTTATCTAATTATGGAATACCTATTATTTTTACAATATTTTAAAATGTATCGTAATTTACAATTTAAATTGCCTTAAAAGCCTATTTTTTAAATAAAACTTTAATTTAGATCCTTAGTAAATTAAGGATATATTATTAGTATTACTAATGGAAATATATCATGGCATTTTCTTTCATTTTTTATGTACTAAAGTGTGAAATATTTGTAGTAATTGTTAATTACTATTTTGTATGTTATACTAAGGACTTGAACGTTACAAGTGATTAGTAATTGAATGTTACTGAAATTTTTAATTTACTTTAAATACAATATTATTTTATGTATTTTTATTTCTATGTTACACTCATTTTTAATGAATAAGTACTACATATATAAATAGAAAATAATAGATATTGAGATAATATTATTGAGATAATATTATTGTACCACGCTTGCCATAATTAATTGTGATTTTTAAGATTCTTTTTATTCTAGATTTTAAATATCAAGTTTTAAAAACATAATGAAAAATGTTGATTAAAATACTGTACTTCTATTATATAAGTATTCTTAGTTGATTTTAAATTAAATTATATTATAATAGTTAAAAACTTACTAGGGTAGGTGAATTTATGAACATTTTTCAAAAATAAGTTTGTCTTTTTTCTATTTTTAAGTATAAATATAAATGTGTATTGTCTCTGTTTTAGTTGTCTTGTGAGCATAGGTCATCTGGTTTGAAAGCATCTTTTGATGCAATTAATTCTAACCAAATTAAAGACAAATCAGATTTTTTATCAACTGCATCTCACGTTAATAAAGAAATCACACAATTAAATAAATCTAGTAATAACCAAACAAAAAAAAATAAAAAGTAAATACAACAGTATTGACATCTACCTATATCTTTGATAATTGTAATTGTAATCATTTTTTAAAAAAATGTAGACATAGAAAAAAAATTGTAAGTAAAGAAATATCAATAATTGATGAAGATGAACCAATTGATCCTAATGAACCTAAATACTGTTTATGTAATCAAATAGCTTATGGTACAATGGTGGCTTGTGATAATAAAAAGGTAGGTATAGTTATAAAAGAATTTAGTATATTATGGCAATTTATAAAATATTTTAATATTTTAAGTAATTCACATTCCTTGTTATAGTGTCTACATGAGTGGTTTCATTATGAGTGTGTTGGTATTACAAATCCACCACATGGAAAGTGGTATTGTCCTAAGTGTATCATCAAAATGAAGAGAAAAAAATAAACATTTTTTTTTTTTTATAATTATGTTTTTTAATATAGTTGTTTCCATTCTATATTGTAGGGATATTTGATATATACCTTTTTTTGAAATGAATTTTTATTGTTTATTATTTTTACTTAATTTATAAATAACTTAATAAAAATAAAACTATGTAAAATTATTGAATATTATCATATAACTATTGATGCTTTAGTCATTTAAGGTCAAGAGGTATGCTTTAATGAAGTTACAGAAATGATGATTTATACTTTATTATGTGTAATATGTGAATAGTGTTAAAAAATGAATTATTAACATTATTTACACTGTAAAATTGAACAATACTATTATTAATATATCATAAGAATCATTTAAAACTAAATAAAAATGTTAAAAAATATTTTTATTTTTAAAATGAAATTAGTTTTTACCTACAATAAGGATCTAGCTGTATAATAGTTAAATAAAAATTCAATATTAGGTAACTCTTTATAGTAAAAAAAAATAAAATTGATTCATCTTAAGTAAGAACTTTTTAATTTTTGTATTGGTACTCTTGTAGAACTATATACATTATACGTACATTCAACTAGGTACAGGTACCTATATAAGTTATACACTAAAATAATTTAATACAACTGAAAACTGATTATAGGTAGGTATTGTAGGTAATAAATTTTTTATGTAAATTGGACATGACATATTTATTGATCAATTGTGTAAACAACAATTTAATTCTTCAAACACTGTCATAAGTGTCTATCAAATGCCACTTGTTATCATCCCCTACAGCAGTTATGTTGTTTATGCCCTATGGTGAACAGTCATGGACCAAACATTGGTTGCAGTGATCACCAGATCCTTGAAAAGTTCTATATGTTATACACATGTAAACACTAATGAATTTTATTTACTGTCAAGTAAAGGTGAACATTTAAAATAAACAAAAAGATAGAATGAACAGTCATTAATGTTCCTATAAAATAACAGTACATACAAGTTATGTTTATCGATAACGTATTGAATACAAGTGCCAAGTCTTGAACATGTTATGGGAATCCATGACTGAACTCACTATGACCATAAAATCAACCAATTTATTATTATTATTTTTTTTGCTAAGTTTTTATGTACAATTATTAGTAATAAGATTGTACCTAGTTTTAATTAGTTAAATTTATTAGGATATAAGACTTAATACTTGTCATATTACTCCAAAGAAAAAATGGTTTGACCAACTTTTATATTGTTAATAAAATTATAAATAACATTAAAGATAAAAAAAATGATTGTACCGAGCTCACATCTCTAGCCAGTGGTACTTGTAATAAAATTACAATATACATGTTATAGACTCCCTCCCCCTAAAAAAAAAATTCTGGATGTGGCTTCGGGTATAGGTACTTACTACTTGCAGATTATTTGCATAGGTTCTTATAAAATACACAACTTTAAGCAGTTCCCTACAGTATTAATTATGTATATTAATGTTCATAGTTAATTTATTTTAAAATTCACATATAATTTATCGTGCATCAATATTCGTACACATTAAAGTCAATTAAATTGTTCATAAGTATAATAATTTATATTTTAACTCAATTATTATTTTGTTTTATTTTCTATTTTAATTTGTTTATCAAGTGTACCTTTTGGTTCAAAATACTCCTTATTAGAAGGTTGCTTTTCTATAAAGGTAACAGTTTGCATCAATAAATCGTGAAATGAATACTTGTTATAATATCCACTACATTTTTCATTATTCATTTCAGCCAATATTTGACATTCGTCGGGGCATGGATTCAATTGAGGACACTCTAAAGGTAAAGATAACATGTGATTAAATTACTTAGAGGTACTTACTCAATAAAAAGTGTTAAAAACAATCACATGAAAAACTTTTACTTTAAATTTGGCTTTTCACTATACTAATTTAACATACCAATTAAACACATTTCAGTGCAATCAGATTTTTCGTCAGGACCGTGATCATGATAATATTTAAAATGTAATTTACTTGTGTGAGTGACAGTTCGTTGAATATTTTTAAGACTCTAAGTGTGAAATAATAAAAATAATAACATTACCTACATCAAATTTGTATTTTAATCTCTTTTGATATTATATTAACATGTTGGTAATAATCATTAATACTTTATGTCTAAGCAAATTTTCCCTACAAAATCAACGGTTTGTTTTTAATAATTTATTGGTATATCTATAAAATTATAGTAAATGTATCAGTAGCCTGTTTACATGGAAACTATACCATCACCGTGCAACTAGGGAACATTTTAAACTACCTACCTATATTAATCAAATGTAAACTTGCAAGTTGCAATAAGTATCTGAATCAAAATAAAAAATTTTAGATTTAGGTAAATCATTTAATTTTTTATGTAATACATCATTTTTTTCAAGTAATTGAGAAAAATGGTAGGTTTTGCCTACTGCAAATTTTTACTGTTGATAGGTGCTGTTTAATATTATTAATGTCGAGTAGTAGGTATTATGAATTCTGCCCAATAACTAGTTGAACCTATTGTTAATAATTGGATATATAGTTAGGTACCTAAATTGAATTTAGAAAATATGGTAACTTAAATTAATAAATGTAAAAATATTGTAAAATATAAATATATAATAAAAAAAAAAAAAAAACATATAAAGAAACATAAATAAAATGTATCTAGTTAAAAAAAAAAAAAAATTGTGCATGACTAACAAATACAGAATGAATTTACTGGTATTATGGTTGACGCATCAAATTAGTTATTATTATTAATGAGTAATGACTAATGAGTAAGTTCAAGTATTATTTTAAATTTGTACTAAGTACAAATAAGTATTAATGTATTTATTACCTACATTGAAACCTACTTATTTTATGTATTTATGAAATATTAAAGTGTTTTTAATATTTCGAATTCGCTTACCTTTATGAACTGCATAATGTTTATATTTAAGGCCGAAATGATATTTTAAGAATAATAATTTGTCTGGTACCTTCTTAATGCACGATTTTTGAGTGTACAATACTAACAATACATACACACATTATATCAGCATACTACAATATTATATAGACACATCAAACGTTATTTGTATAGGTATATCATATATTTATTTATTAGACAGTTCAACGGTTGATAAAAGATATTCGAACTGAAATTACGTATTTATACATAGTCCTTAAATTATACCTATCGCCTTGTGTATTTATACTTTAGTATCTACCTATCTAAAATCATAGATATATATATATATATGTACATATAAGCCAGATATAATTTAAAATGGCCTATGATGCAACCATAGTCAAGTTATACGTCTAGAAAGTAGTTACGAACAATACGAACTAATATTATACACATATAGTAATAGTAGTCTGTACCTCTAATCATAGATTTCTATACAACACAAAACGGGTAAGAGCGAGTAAAATCGATAAAAATAATCCAAGATCGTCCTCCGTGTTTTTTTTTGGGTTGGAAAAATATCCACGATTATAGAAATGGCAAAAAACTATTTTATTATTTTTATGTAATACATTGAAATACTTACCAAACATAAATCCCAAACACGGTATTGATATCGTGTCAAATTGTAAACCTAGAAAACGGCGAAACAAGATTAATTCGATGGCGTGATTTACCATTTACATATATTTAATATGCCTAGACTTCGGTATACCTATAAAATAGGTGTATGGATATAATAATTATAATTACAGATTATTATGCCAGGTTTCTACGGGTTCCGCTAAATCGTATCGTTTTATTTGTAATTTATTTTTATCTATACATTTACTATGTGGAACGTGACATGACATGGTGTTGTGACTTCTGAAAACCTAATATCTTTGCGATGTCTATATAATAATATTATTTATTTTTTTAGCTACCTTAGTGGTGTATTTATATGCTTTTAATATGACAGTTTCAAAAACTTAGTCATAATTGTCCACGGTTGAATATTAGCCTCTATTTAAAAAAAAACCATACGGCACACTTTTCTAGTATTCCGTACACCTATCAAGCGTAAGTTATAAACCTACACTTAATAGGCATTTATTTATTTTTTTATAAGTAATTAATACGTTTTTTTTTAAAAACTGTATTAAGTATACATTTTCATTTCCTGATCCTCGTAGATACTGGCCATCATAAAATAGCTAAGGGCTGACAGACGGTATCTATTTTATAATATATTTTTTTAAATCTATTGTAAAACAATCATATTAATGTATGATGGCAATACGTACGTATAGAAAATGCCGCTTATTATACTCGCTGTTTGAGATTAAACATTTTAGTTCAATTACTGTATGACTCAATAAAGTAAAAGATCCCATAATAAAAAAAAAAGATGAAAATTAAATTAACTAAAAAAATAATTTTAATTTCAGTTCACATCGTATGTCATCTAAATTTTTTACACTTTAGTTAAAATATAGATACATTATTTAATAAATCGTAGTACATACTAATTACTATTAAAGAATTGCATTAAACAGATTAATATGGAAATATACTTTAATATTTATTTAACTATGTCATTTTTTTTTAAATTACTCTCGTTAAACACGTTTTTGTTTCTTTTTGAGATTTCTGATTGGTTATGCAAAGATCTTCGATTTTCTTATTCTCCACCTTTTCTCTAAGTTAGCAGTTCGGCATTTACACTATACATGCACTTACAACAAGATGGTAATTTAAAGCTATCATAATAAAATTCTTGTGAATCTTTAATGGTCATCAATCTTTTGTAGATATATTTTTGAACACATGTTGAAGTGTATCCTAATGGTAAAGTTGCATCAAATGCGCATGGAATTTCAGTATCACTACAAAAAATTGTATTTATTTAAATTATTAAACATAATTAATTTGATACTTACATACATTTCTCCACTCGAATTCCTTGTTTAAAACTGTCTTTGTCATTTAATGGATCTTGTATAATATAACGCCATTCGTTTTTTATTGTAATACCGACTTCTGGATATATTGTTTCTACCTAAAAAATATTTTAAGCTACCTAATTAAAAATTGAATATTGAATTTTACAGTTCCGT